CAGCGGCGTCCAATACCATCCTAACTTTAGTTGTTGTTTGTCCATTCGCACAACTGCGAAATGGGGCAAGTACCACGATGGCAACGAGTGACTGGGGATTTCCGTTAAGTAACCTTTCAGCAGGTGACTCTTGAAAATACCGGAATAAGTTTCAGCCACTTCCGGTTTCTTAGCTAAAGAACGTTCAAGACTCGAAATTCAGAATTTTCGAAATTCGAAGCAATTTACGATAGTAAGAGTTCCAGGGGATTCCAACGCTGTACCTATTAGCGACTGAATCGTAAGTCAACGATTGTTCGGTAGATTTGATAGCATCTGTTTCTATTTTGGTAAAGTTTGAAATTCTCGGTTTAATACCGGAGTTCTCGATATCCCACATATTTCGGATTAATGAGTCTACGTCAGATTCTGTCTTGATGTGATAAGTGAAATGAGCGAAGTTACCACTAGACTCAGCCCAAAGGAGTCAATCGAGCAATGGGTTCATGGGGTAATGCCGTTATTTCTGTCATAGCCCGATGTATTCCGGAACAATCAAAAGATCAACACGATTGTCATTAATCTGAGGGAATGGTATACCTTTTAAATGCGGCCAAAAGTTAGTTTGATTGTTCCAGTCAACTGTTCTAAGACCCCCTGTCACATTGTTTACAGTATACGCCGTAAATGGCACACAAGTTTGAAAGTCTTACTGCACAGTTCTGCGGAAACAAGCGCAGCGTTTAACGAGGTTGATTTACCACCCAGAACAGAAACGTCCAAGTCAGCGATGTCACCTTTAAGCTCCAGCTCTGCAGCTACACTATCATTAATATAGCTGTCAGTGGAACAGTCGTCCATAAGTGCATAACACCGAACAACCCTATCATGATTTCGTAATACGACAGGTACGACTCTCATCACCAAATTAGTGAACTTACGGACTTGAGTGTGTGTGCGTTTTACAGTAGAGTGATCATTTCGTACAGCTGGAAAGGGTCTCGATTGCTGGGGTGACTCTACGACTTGTTGCAGTGGTGGGGTTTTATAAGAGTTCGTGAGTTGTGACAAACCTGGTCCGTTGTTACGATTGGAAGTGTCTACAAACGGTCGATCATCGTATCCCCCTCCGTGCAACAAGTAGTGGTGAGTACGACGACAGCCATCAATTATACATTGTTGAGCGGCGGTGCAACGGTTACCACGGTGGCTGTTATCTAGACAGCGAAAACATAAACGTTTCTCTTTAGCCATTTCCCAGCGCTGAGTGACAGAAAGCGATCTAAAATGTAAACAGTTATTAATACCATTGTCATGAAATTGTCCACAGATGATACAAGAATTTTGACTCGTGGTTGCGAATGTTTTTGAAGTCCGACTATACTATAATGCCGATTACGATACGATGAGCTTGGCGATCGTTTCGAATAGGACGATGGGACCCAAGTCTTAGCATTAGGGGTAAATCCTTAGGGATAACCATTCTTTCAAAGTCAAAAGGGATTCTATTTTCCTTTCGAAAGAGGCCCAGCGTTTGAATTGCATGAGTGCGTTAGTGGAAAGTTTGGACCTCACCACAGAGAAAAACATAGAATTAACGTGGAATTGCTCAGTTCGACCATTTTCCCGGAGAGACAATATGCACAATTCTAAAGTGTCAACGTATTCCTCAAACTTTTTGAGATCACTGAAATTGACTGAATTCATTTTCATAATAGTTTCCAAATGCATAAGTGTGTAACAACGAGGACCGCCGAATTTATCCTCTAAGCAATTCAAAGCAGCGTCATATCCCATGTCAGATGCTTGGAATCCTTCTATTGCTTTCAGCGCTTCACCAGTTAAATGTTGTCTTAATTGTAACATTTTGTAAGCTTTCGAAGTTGAAGATTTATCAATACATTCTGTGAATGCATCCTTAAAGACTTGATACTCACGCTTGTTTCCATCGAATTTAGTAATGGAAACTTTACTTAACCGTCTGTAGAGATCTCTATCCAGTTGATTGAAATTGGAGCTGGCACTTGACTCTGTTCTGTTTGTTCTTGATCACCATGATCAGCAGGAACATTTTGTTGGTGAAATGCTGGATCTGATAAGATGGCTGGGGATGTGTCCCTCGGTATGGATAACGAATCTGTCGCCTTTGATAATAGATCGGATATGCTGCTATCTGACTGCACAGATTCCAGCTCATCTTCATAATCACCACTTTCATCACAAAGATGATTCAAAATGTCGATTACTTCTTCATTATGCCGGAGGACATTGTCTACTGCTGTTCTGATGCTAGCGGTCTGCTTCTCACTTGCACAAAGCAAACTTGTAAGAAGTTTTGCTTTTGTCAACTGAGTTTTAGCAGTTATTTTCTTTCGGCGTAATCGTGCAATATTTTCCCGAACTTGTTAGCTCTGACCATTTTGCCCGACTTGTTGTGCGTCAGGACTAGGTGTTGACTGATTCTGACCGACCACTGCAGAATCTGGATTGTCACCCATCGTTTTCGCCAACAATTTTCAGAATCGATTATTAAACGATAAAACATGGATACTAACCACGAATCTGTCTACCATATGTTTGGGATGCGATGAGATGCGATGAAGAACGATGTAATGTTTCTAAAATATTTATTCGATGAACATGAACGATGACAACATGGCGATGACAAATGATGATGTGGCAGTGTCGAGCAGGCGGAAGTCCAGTTTTGTTGTCTTGAACAACCTAGTAATGTTTCGTGTTCAGTCGAGTCATTCGGATCATCGTTCACGAACATTACAGGTAGTCCGAAACACCGATCCCGAACAATATTTAAAGAGCCATTTCAGATGACCAACTTTATGTAGTAGTACCAATATAATACATTTATATGACTGTAAAGGGTGAATTAATGCATATGCCTATGGGCTACAAAATCATCGAAGTATCTTTTTATATTCCCACACGAAATTGGGGGGTGGGGGGGGCGTATATTGTCCATTGTCCATCAGTCCACAATTGCTCGTAAACATTCTACAAGGCACAATTCTTGACTTATTTCGACGAAATTTGGTATGGTCGATGGTAATCACCCAAGGATGGACCCTATTGTAAATCAGATGAACCGAAAAATATTTAGTATGAGTTTTTGTCCATGTTCTTGAAAACGCATTCAATTTTAGCTTATGAACACTCTAGAAGGCACAATTCTTGACAGATTTTGACGAAACTTGGTGTGAGTGTTTGTTATCATCAAAGGATAAACCCTATCGAAAAAATTGAAAAATATTGAGTTATTGCCCTTGTTTTTGAAAACGCGTCCAATTTTCAGCTCGTTATCACTGCCGAAGTCACAAATCTTGACGGATTTGGTAAGCTATCTTTCAAAATTATGTCAGATCTGGTTTTTTTTTTAGAAAGAATTGACTATCTATAGCCAGTCACAACTTTTTGTAATCCTCACCACGCAATTAGATACCAAATTTGCTATTCCGGGGTTTTCAACCTGAAAACCCTCTTCTGAATGATAATGAATAATAATGAATGAATATTAATTAGCCACAGTGATAACTTTTACAGGACTTGTAAATCCATATGAAGTGAAGAATTTCATTCTTTTATCAATTTACGAACTCTTTTTCTTGTCATTTATTCAACTTAATTCAATTGTAGGACGTTTGAAGATAAACCCTTCTGACTATTGTGGAGATTCAACAGCAGCAATCGATAATCATAACCTAAGTCTATCAAAACTTCCTATAATTCTTAATCTGTCCAAACAAAAATACGTGACAACTGTATAATTATTTACTTAATATATTACTCTACTACTTATAATCTTTACTGACATGATGACAAATCAATTTATACCTACATGATAAAATCTGTCTTTGTCTGTTTGTGAACATAACAGATTATACGCTTTGATGGGATCCATACATGACTTTCTTATTTAATTTAAAATCACGATCACGATGTCCAAACTTTAAAAAAAAACCCAATAAATTCGATGGCCATACTCAAGTAAATTTGCATAACTCAGTTTTCAAGTCATATTTTAGACTCATTCTGATAAACAAACGAATATTTATACAATATTGGGGGTACAAATTATATTTCTGGAAGATAAACCACCACTGGCGCTTAAAACTAAAAGTTAGTTATGACACACAATATTGGAAGATATTAAACATAGGTCTGAAATGAGTTTGGCCTCACATTGGATTGCTAATAAAGGTTTTCTTCTTCCTTCTAATACATACAATTTGGAGTTGGGCTGCTGTTGTTCGGCTGTGTGCATTGGCTTCGAATGGGAGCTTAGGCAGCCAAACTTGATCAGCGGAAATTGATTTGTGACATGTTTCCCCTATCTATAGTTACTTTTTTCCAGCTGTGGCAAAACAAAGGTTTTTGAAAATTTTAATTACGTCTTTCAGTAATGCATTATTTGAGTGACGTACGGCGTGGACATATCAAGCCTATCTAACCTTTGAAAGTTACATGTACTTTAATTTGACATAATGGAAATCAAACATTTTGAACATGTTAAAATTAACAGCAACAGACAAGTCGATGAAAACATTTAATGGAAGTAAACATCATCCTGATATAAAACTCGTTCTAACGTGAACATCATCAAATATCAAAATCATAACAGCAACAAATAGAGCATAATTTACCTCGGTGATCAGATCTGTCTTTCATATAAGATTAAAAACCTAACATGGATGCAAACTGTACGAACATTCAAAAGCCCATGGAAAAAAATGTTCCATTTATAGTGCTGTATATATTCCTAGGAATTTTCATCTGTTCTGGAAATATCTTGACCATTGTAGCGGTATGGAGAACTCCTATATTAAGAACTGTACCCAATATGTATGTTGTTTCTCTTGCTGTAGCAGATCTTATGGTTGGTGGTATAGCGGTTCCCAACCAAATAACATTTTATATTCCGTCACTATATAATTTGCAACAACAAACATTTTTGCCTTTTCAGACATATTACCTTTTTTGTTTCGGCAACGACATCAATATACAGCATGGGTGTTATTTCACTTGATAGGGCTTTTTATATTGGATACCCTTTACGCTATAAACTACTAGTAACAGCTAACAAAGCTAAATGTATTATTGCCTGTACATGGATTGTATCTTTAGTAGTGAATACAGTACCTGCCTATTATAATAATTGGAAATCTTGTGGAGATTGCAATCTCTTTAAAGTAATGCCACCAATGTACCAAATATGTGTTCAGATAGGAATGATAGTCGTGGTTTGTATAATTACTGCTACTTCTTATGGATTCATCTTTAAAATAGCCAGAAGTAAACATGTCCGCGATCGACAGCCAGCTTCTTCTCGTTTTCAAGCTGATATGAAATTAGTAAAAACATTTTTGAGGTGTTTGGATTGTTTATGGTTTGCTGGATTCCTGTACTGATACTGGTCATTCTCGGTCACTGGTCGGAAATCTTAATTAATACTTCATTATTTGCCACTGCAGTATTCCTTTCGGTTGTTAATTCTGGAATGAACTTTCTTGTCTATGCAGTGAATAATCCCAACTTTAGAAGAGGAATTGTTCAAATGATTTGCCGTACACGGCTCAATGGTGAAGGTTTTAACAGGATAGCCAGAAGTCAGCGATATGGTAACTTTCGCAATTGCAACAACCAATCATTTAAAAGATATCTTGCCAGGCAAGGTAACATATGCCCATTGGCAGCTATCAGGAATGATAAAACAGTCTTTAGTGACTAAAGTAGGAATTTTCCCATATTGAAGAAATTTTATTAGTTTGAATTCAATTACAAATATGCCAGTTATTTATGCTGAGTAATTCCACAAAATTTGTTAATATCAATTTCAATAACCCAAATACAACAAACAATTAAATCACACAGCTCTAATCAAGGGCAAAAATGTTTTAAAAAAGTCAACTCAAAAACCGCTCATCGAAAAATCATCAAGTTCAAACTTGTCCACGATCTCATCAATATAAATTATCACACCAAATTTCATTAAAATCAGTTGAAAACTGTAGTCTCTATTGTGTCCACAAAACTAATTTTGATGCGTTTTCCTAAGTCAAGGGCAATAACTCAAAAACGGTTCATCAAAAAATCAAATTCAAACTTGTCCAAGATCTCATCAATATAAATGATCACACAAAATTTCATTAAAATCAGTTGAAAGCTGCAGTCTCTATTGCGTTCCAAACAAATATTGACGCGTTTTTCTTAAGTCAAGGGCACTTACTCAAAAACCTTTTATTGCAATATCTTCAAATTCGAACTTGACCAGGATCTCATCAATATAAATAATCACACCAAATTTCATTAAAATCAGTTTAAAACTGTAGTCTCTATTGTGTATTGTGTTCACAAACAAATTTTGACGCGTTATTCCCAAGTTAAGGGCAATAACTCAAAAACCGTTCATCGAAAAATCGTCAACTTCGAAGTTGATCAAGATCCCATGAATATAAATGATCACACCAATTTCATTCAAATCGGATGAAAACTGTAGTCTCTATTGTGTTCACAAATTTTGACGCGTTGTTTCTAAGTCAAGGGCAATAACTCAAAAACCGTTCATCGAAAATGTGTCAAGTTAGAACTTGTCCGAGATCTTATCAATTCCAATGATCACACCAAGTTTCATCAGAATCGGTTAAAAACTGTAGCTTCTATTGTGCTCACAAACAAATTTTGAAGGGTTTTTACAAAGTCAAGGGCAATAACTCAAAAACCGTTCATCGAAAATGTGTCAAGTTAGAACTTGTCCGAGATCTTATCAATTCCAATGATCACACCAAGTTTCATCAGAATCGGTTAAAAACTGTAGCTTCTATTGTGCTCACAAACAAATTTTGAAGGGTTTTTACAAAGTCAAGGGCAATAACTCAAAAACCGTCCATCGAAAATGCGTCAAGTTAGAAGTTCTCCGAGATCTTAATAATTCCAATGATAACACAAAGTTTGATCAAAATCAGTTGAAAACTCTAGCTTCTATAGTGCTCACGAACACATGTTGACGCGTTTTTACAAAGTCAAGGTCAATAACTCAAAAAATGTTCATCGAAAATACCTCAAGTTAGAACTTGTCAGAGATCTTATCAATTCCAATGATCACACCAAGTTTCATCAGAATCTTCTTCGATTATATAGTTAAACGTAGTAGGCCTATTTCTAATTGTGATATTTCATAAATTTGAAAGAGTATCTAGAAAAATAATTAATTATAGATTATATCGTAACAGTGTAAACGTTTCTGATTCTACAGCCTACCTATCAACACTATCAAATATTGAGAATAATCTTCCTTTTGGTAAATGTATGGGCATTTCTATCTTTTTTTTATATATTCATTCAATTAAAATTCAAAGTCACAGTTAAAACACGTATAAATCATGCATGAAATGATATTGAAAATAGTCCAAATACTGACGATCCGAACCGCGAAGCTAAACAATAATATAAAAACTAACTGTCTCAGGGGTCTCAAGTAACGTTTAAGTAGAAAATCTCTCCAAGCTATATATACCTACATTCTGCCGCATTTCGATTATTGTGATATTATATGGGACAGGTGCACTATCTAACTAACAACTGCATTAGCAAATCTTCAGTTAGATGCCTCAGAATTATATGCGGCGCTGTTAAGGGAACTAGCCATGCTGTACTTTACAAGGAAACAGGTTTCATTACACTGCAGGAAAGACGACGTCGGCATAAGCTGACAATGATGTACAAGATCCCGAACAATATGAATCTTACCTATCAGATCTTCTCCCCGTCAGAAAAATCAATTATAATCTTAGAAATATCAACAATTTACCATATATAAACTGCAGAACTAATTTATTTTATGATTCATTTTTGCCGTCAACGATCAGAGAGTGGAATAATCTACCAAATTCTTAAAAACTATTTCATCCTTCAAAAAATCTCTAAAATCAAATGACACTTATCAACCTGATACATATAGCTTTGGCAATCGAAAAAATCAAATTTCTTCGTCTTTCCTGCAGTGACCTTAGTGGTCATAAATATCTTATCCTGCGTGCTCTTGTGGTCATCAGTTTGAAGATGCAGAACATTTTCTTTTGAACTGTCCCTTAAATTCAGATGCACGAGACAGATCTATAAACATCTTACCGGCTGGCCTTAAAAACATAACCAATCTGCTTAATGGTGTACAAAATGACCCTGACCAATCTATACACATTTTCGAAAAAGTTCACGAATTCCTTCTTCTGTCAAAACGTTTTTAGAATTTTAATTATTCCGTTTTATATCTTCGAGTATCTACCATGGATGTAGCGATGTCTGTATATATACGTTACTTATTTTAACGATATTGTATTGTACATATGAACATTTTATATTAGGAGAGGGGTTATATAGGCGAAAGCCTGTTCCCCAATCATTCTTCATATTTATATGAATACAATATTGTTTTTTTTTTTTTTAAAAAAACCATAAAAACTCAGTAATTTTATGAATAGGTTCATGACAGGGGACAAGTTTTTTCTTAACTTTCCTAACTCGGTAAAACGAGTCCGAGGTCATTATCTAAGATATGTTCCATTTGAGCAAATATATTAAATGGCTGTTACAATATATTTAATAAGTTAATTTAAGTTTAGTCTACGACCAAACGTTACAATAATATAAATGTTGCATGATTTCATGTATAGTTGAATTATTTACAATAATAAGTATATATATTTACAATAGAAAAATAAAAAATAACATTTATTTACTTTTTTTCAAATTAAGCATATATAAAATGTTCTACATATTCTTGGAGACATTGTCTATATATTTAGATAAACTAATAGGTGAAAATCATCATTTGTATTAAGTTCATTTAGATAAGTAAATTAATTACTAACTAATTAGATCAAATTTCTATAAGCCCTGGCATTTTGTGACTCAGTGGTTATCAGATAGATTGCAGATTGCAGTCGTTAGACTCTTACTGAAGTGGCTATATAAAAAAATATTCAAGTACATTGACTATGAGGTTTGCTGTAAAGTATCAACAACCGACAGGAGACGGGCGAAATAATATAAACAGATTTTGGAACTTCTAAACCTAGCCAGATCAAAATTTCCCGCAGCAACCTTTTATGCCACACAAACAGGCTACCATTTTCTACCAGCCTACAATGAGTCGATCAATCCCGGCATAGGAAGAGATAATACCTTCGGATTTTTCAACCCAGTTTCCCCCTGTCAGTGATGCAGGTAAGAGGGGCTGACATGGAAAAAGCGTCAAGTCGTTCGGATGGGACAATAAACCAAGGCCCCGTGTGCTACAGGCTGTGCACGTTAAAGATCCCTCGACAGTTGGAAATCGAAAAAGAGAAGGCTAATGCCGCTGTCCTGGCAAAATTTCCCCTCATCGCACCCTGCATGGCGTTGCCCGTCTTCATTAGTCCACATGGTGCAGAAAAGTAGGACGTAAATCTCCATTCATTTCATTTCATTTACAATGAGTCGAGCCCTATGCTACAGGAAATATCCGTCGTTTTAATAACGTTATCTACCATAAACCTTCTCCTCTTGCCACTACCATCCCAAGATTCAATGGAATGGTCGACGTCTGCTCCGATCATGTCCACTGGACGGCCTCCACTGCCAGAAGTATTTACTTTAAATGGGTCTCACATTTAAACTAAACGCGAGGGTATTCTAAAGTATTCTAAGTATTCTAAAATTAGGTCAAAATTTTTAAACCTTATAGTACGCGTAAACTTTCTCCCGTTGAAGAAAGACTTTGGATTGCGGTTTGACTTTCATTCCCATGACAAAGCCATTATCTATTTCACCAATTTTGACGTCGATTAAAGAAATTCAGCTAATATTTAAACTCAATTTTTTCTTTGTGAACACCTTGGCCGCGGAAAGCGTACCAAATTTATTGAAAAATCTGGTTGGAATGCCCCATACAGCGCGATAGACAATAGTATTATTGATATTTGCGATGAAATGTACGAGAGAGTCTCTCGGTTACCTTTGGTAAATGATAAAAAAAATTTAACCAATTTTGAACGTATGGCATTAAATGACTTGAAGAACGATGATAGCATCATAATCCGTAAAAATGACAAAGGCAGTTGTTGTGTGATACAGGATCGCGTTGACTATATTTTCGAATTAGATAAACAGTTAAGTAATCAAAATCATTATCGCGAACTAGAAAGAACAATTTTTATGGAAACATCTAAAAAATCAACGATATTTTGAAAACATTAGTAATAAAAAAGGTTCTTTCTGATGCACAATACGACTATCTTTTTGCGAAACCCAATGTACGTCAACGTCATATTTATTCCTTACCGAAAATCCATAAGAATCCTGAAAACCAAATGGACAGTCGCAAATAAAATCCCCAAGGGCAGACCGATTATTTCTGATTGCGCCAGTGAAT